GCGAATCCCCTCAATAACTCATGTGAAATGGACAAATTCCTTGAAGGACACAACTAGTACAGTTCCCTCCAGAAGTAGGTGTGCATATTAAAAATATTAAATTTGTTATTAAAAACCACAAAGAGAACTGTAAGCCTAAGTGGCTGCACTAGTAAATCCTCCCAAGTATTTAAGGAAGAAAAATAGCAATTCTATTCCAACTTCCAAAAAGTTGAAAAATTAAAATACTTAACAGCTTATTCTGTGAGTCCAGCTTTACACTGATAGCAAAATCAGAGATTATAGGAAAAGAAACTGCAGACCAATATCCCTCATGAATATACAAAAAAAAAATTCTTTAAAAGATTTTAGCAAATCAAAGCAACAATACATAAAAAAGATAGTACATCATTACCAAGTGGGATTTATCCCATGAATGTAAGTCTGGTTTCATATTTGAAAATTCATTAATATACTTACTTCATCACATTAGCTCACTAAAAAAATTATTTCATCATTATAGTAAATGTATTAAAGACATCAGGCAAAATCTAACATCTAGTCCTGATTAAAAATAACTCAGCAGCCAACTAGTTTTCCACAAAGGTACCAAGAATATACACTGGTGAAAGACATCCTTTCAATAAATGGTGCTGGGAAAACTGGATATCTTTATGCAGAAGAATGAAACTAGACCCTTCCTTCTCACCATAAATAAAATTCAACTCAAAATAGATTAAAGATTTAAATGTGAGACTTAAAACTATAAAACTACTAGAAGAAAACATTGGGGAAACATTATGATGTAGACCAAGGGTTAATGGCTCCCATAAGCACGGGCATTAAAACCAAAAAGAGACAAATGGGACTATATTAAATTTGGCAAAGGAACCAACACAGTGAAGAGACACCCTGTTAAACAGGGGAAAATATTTGTAAACTATTCATCTGACAAAGGGTTAATATCCAGAATATTCACGGAAATCCAACAACTCAACAGCAAAATAAACAATCCCATTAAAAAGTAGACAAAGGATTTGAATAGTCATTTCTCAAAAGAAGACATCAAGATGGCCAAAAGGTGTACCAAAAAAATGTTCAGTATCACTAATCATCAAGGAAATGCAAATCGAAACCACAATTAGATATCTTACCCCAGTTAGAATGGCTATTATCCAAAAGACAAAATAAATAAATAAATAAAAAAGATGCTGGCAAGGATGCAGAGAAAAGGGAAGTCTTCAGAACTGCTGGCGGGAATGTAAACTAGTATAGTCACTGTGGATAATGTAGAGATTTCTCAAAAAACTAAAAATAGTACTACCATGTAATCCAGCAATCCCACTACTGGGTATTTATTAAAGAAAAGGGAATCACTATGTCAAAGGATACCTGAACTCCTTAGTTATTGCAGCACTATTCCTAATAGCAAAGATACAGGGTCATCCAACAAATGACTGGATAAAGAAAATGTGGTATAGATATACAATGGAATATTATTTGGCCATAAAAAAGAATGAAGTCATCATTTGCAATAATGTGGAGGATGGAATGGGAGGTCGTTACGTGTGTTAAGTAAAATAAGCTAGACATAGGCAAATATCATATGTTCTTACTCATATGTGGGAACTAATAAAAAGGTTGGTTTCCTGGAGGCAGAGAGTAGAACAGTGGTTACCAGAAGCTGAGGATAGGAGAAGGGGAAATGAGGAGAGGCTGGTTAATGGGCACCTACAGGTAGATAGAATAAGTCCTAATTTTTGTGTGTGTGTGTGTGTGACAGAGGCTCACTTTGTCACCCTGGTACAGTGCCATGGCGTCATAGCTCACAGCAACCTCAAACTCTTGGGCTCAAACTATTCTCTTGCCTCAGCCTCCCAAGTAGCTAGGACAACAGGTGCCTACCACAACGCCCAGCTATTTTTAGAGACAAGGTCTTGCTCTGGCTCAGGCTGGTCTCAAACCTGTGAGCTCAGGCAATCCACCCACCTCGGCCTCCCAGAATGCTAGGATTATAGGTGTGAGCCACATAAGCTCTAATTTTTGATAGCGTAGAGTGACAATAGTTAATAGTAATGTATTGTATATTTCAGAATGGTTAGAAGAGAAGACTTGAAAATGTTCCCAACACATTGAAATGATAAATACTCAAGGTGACAGATATCTTAAACACCCTGGCTAGATCATCGCACATCCTATGCATGTAACAAAATATTACATGTATCCCAAAAATATGTACAAATATTATATATTTTTTAAAAACTCTCAGCAAATTGGGAACATAAAAGAACCTTCCTCAACCTGATAAGGGACATCTACAAAAACCCTACAGCAGATACCCTTAGTGGTGAAAAATGGAAGAATGCCTTTGCCCTAAGATCAGGAATAAGACAAGAATGTCCCCTCTCAGCTCTTCTGTTCAGCATTGTATTTGAGACTCTGGTCAGTGCCATTAGACAAGAAAAAAGAAATAAAAGGTATCCAGATTGGAAAGGAAGAAGAAGAACTGTCTTTATTTGTCTTTATTGTCTATATCGCATGTTCACTTATGGAGGGGCACTGGTATGAGAAAGGACAGACTTTTCAACAAATGGAACTGGCACAGCCATATGCAGAAGAATGAATTTCAGTTGTACCCTGAGCCAGGTACAAAACTTAACCATAGATAGAACCACATGTAAACCTTAAAACTGTGAAACTTCTAAAAGAAAACCTAGGAGAAAACTTTTATAACTTTGGATTAAACAACACTTTCTTAGATTCAGCACCGGAAGCACACTCAAGAAAAGAAAAAAAATTGAAATGGGACTTTGCAAAATTCAAGACTTCTGCTCTTGGAAACATACTGTTACTAAAATGAATAAAAAGACATGGAGAAATCTTTGCAAAGCATGTATCTGTTAAAGACTTTGTATCTAGAATATATGAAGAACTCTCAAAACGTAATGGAAAATAAACGGCCCATTTAAAAAATGGACAAAATTTGAACAGATGTTTCACCCAAGAAGTTACACAGATGACAGTCAAGTATGTAAAAAGATGTTCAACATTATCAGCCATTTGAGAAATGCAAATTCAAACACACTGTTGTATCCCTACACGCCTATGAGAATGGCTAAAAATAATAGAGCATTGACGATGAGGGGGAGGAACTGGAATCTCTGTGCTGCCAGTAGGAATGCAAAATGGTGCAATCACTTTGAAAAACAGTTTGTGGCTGTTTCCTAAAAAGTTATGCACATATAAAAATGTACATAAACAAATATACATACATACATAAATACCTAAAAAGTTAGACATATGGGCTCAGAGAACATGGGGCAGGACCCTGGGCAGGGGCACAGCTGGGCATGAGGGTATCTGCCAATCTTATGGGCAGGACAGATCCAATTTTTGGATCTGAAGCTTGGGTAGTCCGCTTTAGGGAAAAGAATTTAAAAATGAGGAATTCGAGATTAAGTATGAAAGTGAGTATTTAGGACAAGCAAGTAACCACAGCATATTGCCAGAACTGTGGATCTTATCTTCTGAGTGGTCTTAAGATGCCCTTCTACAAATGCTTATGCAGAAAAGATTCCTGATGGCATCTGGTGTCTCCTCCCCACCTAGGACACTCATCCCCTTCAGCTGTCCTAGGCCAGGTGGTGTGCAGAGCCACTGTCCCCAAGTCTGAGCTGCTCCTGGGTGGCAGCCTCAGGGGCAGTGTCCAAGCAAGCAGGGTTCGTCTGTGTGGTGAGGAGCTCCAGAAGGCATCTCGGGGCCTTGAACAGTTCTCCACCCCTGCGTGCCACCCGCAGGGAGGATGAGGATGGGGGTGCAGATGCACCCCCTTCCCATGCTCCAGCCCTCAGAGCAGCCTCCTTGGTTTCCTCGGTTCTCAGCTGAGGGATGGCAGGAGGGAACATGGGCTAAGTAGAAGCCCAGAGCCCAGACCTTGAATCCCTGGCTCCACCCCTCACTAGCTGTGTGAGTACAGGCAGGTTACTTACTCTGTGCCTCAGTTTCCTCACCCGTAAAATGTAGAAGTTAACAGTATGTCCCTCAGAGAGTCATTGTGAAGATTAAAGGCAGGTGTGTGCGTCAGCTTTGCTCACCAGGAGAGGTGGCGGCACCAAGCTGTCACTCAGTAAGCACTGCTCCTGTCTGGTCCCCGTCCTGGGTGGCAGGCTCCAGCGAGGTCCCTGGACCTTACAGTGCTCCCTGCCTGCCCTCCCATACTCCAGGAACACAGGTCTCTGGGACTCACATCCCACCAGCAGATGATCCTGGATTGAGTCTGTGAGACCTTAGGCAAGTAACGGTGAACTATATATTATGGATTTGGGGGTGCAGTGCATAAAGATAAGCTTGTTCTGGAAAATTCCCTAAGTTACCCATCAAGATCAGTATAAATGATTTTATGTACATCCCAAAGATTAATTTGCTTACATGTGAAAACTTGTGAATTGCTAAAACTACCATAGGGGAAAAGTCCCTTCATAAATAGCTGTCAGAGTGTTCCTGTCCTTCTGCGCTTGGCCATCAACATAGTATCTAGTTGTGAGTAGGAACAGGTGAGGATGCCATGGCGGCGCTGTGCTTCATTCTGGCTTAACATCCCGCCTCTGTCACACTGATGCACATGGATGTTGGTCTTACCTTCAGGACGGCGCAGGAGGCCGCTGTGTCAGAGCCAAAGTCAAAAGCACGTGGTGACATTGAAGTGTGCAGTTGAGGTGGGCAAAGCTGATTTAAAACCACACTTCAAGGCCACTCTGGGGTACCGAACTTATCTGAGCTGGTCTGAAATGTGCATGTTTTTTCCTGATAGTTCCCTGGGATGCTTTGAATTAATTCTCTTTTGATAATGGAAAAAGTTACAAGTGAGACTAAGGGAGAAAAGAAAAGCCTGTATGAGGTGGGAAAAGTCTGGGCTGGGAGGTCTTGACAGCACCCCCAGCCCCTGGGGAGTAATGCGGCCAGGCTGGGGCTGGAGCCTGCACAGGGACCCCGTGGTAAGCCTGTGTCTCCCTGTCTTGCAGGTGGTGCCGGGGAGCGGGAGAAGGTGCCGGCCAATCCAGAGGCGCTCCTGCTGATGGCCAGCTCCCAGCGTGACATGGAGGACTGGGTGCAGGCCATCCGCCGGGTCATCTGGGCCCCGCTTGGCGGAGGTACTACCCGTAGCTCGCGTGCCCGCCCTGTAGAACCCTTGCCTCCAGGTAATCATGGCCCCTTTCGCCTGGGACTTGCTGCTGTGTCCTGTGCTGCTTCTGGCAAGCTGGTCCTTCTGCCACCAGCCCTCAAGAGTCACCCCTCCCCTCAGTGCACTGACCAGGCCCTGGCAGGAGAAGTCAGGCCCACTTTTCAAAAACATGCCCTCCTCCTGCCAGAGGCCTGGGGCTCAGGCTGCTGGATGTGAGGTGGGTGTGAGGGGGTCTGTTCAGACAGGGGCATATCAGATGTCTAGGCCGGCTGCAGCCACACGGGGACAATGCCCTGGTCCCCAAACCCACTTTGTATCCCTGATCTGAAAGCAACAGTTGCTATTTACTCACTTTCTCTTTTATTTAAAAACATTTACTGGGTGCCTAAAATGTACAGGGTCTGCTGCTCCAGCCATGAGGGATTCAGTGGTAAACAAATGCCCCGTGCCTCCACCCTTCCCTCATCTTCATCTCTGTTGGAGAGAGACAGTGGACAAGGACATGGGTCTTGTGATAGTCACAGTGAGAAATTCAAAGAGACAAAGTAACCCTCAGTGAGAGGACAGACGGGATGTTGTTAGGTGGAGTGGCCCAGAGGCTTAATGAAATGACAAGGCAGCCAGGGGCACACTGGGGAAAAGCATCCTGGCATAGGACTGGCCCCTGCAAAGGCCCTGAGGTAGGATTGAGCTAGAAGAACATGAGGCATATTAGGAAGGCCAGTGGGTCTGAGGGAGTAAATTCAGGGAGAGTGGGAGGGTCTGGGTGAGAGAAGAGACTTCCTGGGCCATGGGGCCATGGCAGGGATTTCAGATTTTGTTCTAAATGCAGTGGAACACTAGGAGGGCTCTAAGCAGGAGATGCACAGGACCTGACTTAAGATTTACAAAAAGGGAGGCTTGGTGCCTGTGGCTCAAGTGACTAAGGCGCCAGCCACATATACCTAAGGTAGCGGGTTCGAATCCAGCCCAGGCCCGCCAAACAACAATGACGGCTATAACCAAAAAAAAAAAAAAAAAAAAAAAAAAAAGCCAGGCATTGTGGCGGGCGCCAGTGGTCCCAGCTACTTGGGAGGCAGAGGCAGGAGACTCGCTTGCTTGAGCCCAGGAGCTGGAGGTTGCTGTGAGCTGTGATGCCACTGCACTCTACCCAGGGGGACAGCTTGAGGCTCTGTCTCAAAAAAAAAAAAGGGTGTTCTGGCCACTGCATGAGGGAAAGGCCACAGAGGACCAGCAGTGTACACACCAGGCTGGGATGGTCATGGGGCAGTGCTAATGGGCTGAGAGTGGTCAGCTGCAGAAGTGTTCCAAAAATGGCTGCCAGGTTTTGCCCATGGTCTGGACATGGGGTGCGAAAGGAAGAGAAGATGTCTCCCAGCCATTCAGTTGCTATCTCTGTAGGCTGATGCCCAGATGAAGTTATCATGAAGAGAGGTTTTATAAGGGGATCACCATGCTGAAGGGGGCCAGCACACCAACTCCGTGGTCAGTGGGGACACCAGGAGCCTGAATGCTGGCTGGGCTCTGACTGCACAGCCAGGGATGTCCTCTTTCTCCCTATGGAGTTTGGCGCACAGTTCAGGCAAGAGCAGACCCTCACATTCAGAGCCCATCTCCTGGCCTCAAGGCTCTTTGGCCAAGCCCCTTCCTTCACTCCTCACCTCACCATCTCTCCTCTCCTCTCCTGTGCTGTGGCTGCCTGACCACCTTTCATTGAATCCTAAATCTTTTGCACAGCAGGGCCAATATAATGTTGAAGGTATTCTCCTGAGCTTCATAAGTGGTATCGCACTGTCAGTCACAGCCTCCCTGACCCTTTGTGATTGTAGCACATTTGACCTTCAGCCCGAGCTTAGTGGGCTGGGCAGACCTGCACCCACACAGGGATTTCTGCTGCCTTCCAGAGGCTTCCTATGGTGCCTGGTTGTTGAATGTGAACTGGTGGAAGAGAATGGAGCCCAAAGGGAGAATTGTGCAGAGCTGGACTCTGATTGATGACAGATGGTATCTTTGGGCACCAGAGAAAGGAGAAACGCCATTGTTATGATCTTAAAGTAGAGAAAGATTTTGCAAATGAGTTATAAAAAGCTCTAATCTACTAGGGAAAGATTGATAAATGCATCGTACAACACAAAATGAACACCCATTCTTTAAAAAGTAGATTAAGAGAATGAAAAGACAAGCTATCCATTAGGAGAAGGTGTTTGCAATAAGTACCCCCATCAGACAACTCACTCCCCAGACTCTCTCACACCAACAAGGCAAAGACAGACAAGCCAGCAGAAACTTAGGCAAGAGACTTGAACTTCCCCAAGAAAGTAATCCTCATAACTGATGAACACAGGCAACGGTGCTCAGCCTCATTGGTAATCAGGGAAATGCAAGTTAAACCACAATGTGATACGTCACCACACCCACCACGATGACTAAGTGAAAAAGACAGTTTCAAGTGATGATGAAGACAGAGCTACAGAAACTTGCACAGATTGCTGGGGAAACTGTGTGGCCCTATCTGTTGAAGTTGACGCTGTGCACACCTGTGTCCCAGCAATTCCATACGAGACATGTCACAAGTACAAGTGTGCACAGGTACACAGGAGACTTGGACGCTTCGGGTGTTGATAGCCTGACGCTGCTCTCAGTGCCCAGCAACCAGACAGTGGATGAATAACTGTGATTCACTCCTGGAGTGAGAAGCCCTAAAACAAGGAGAATGGGTCAAGTACAGCCCCACCAACCACATGTGTGAATATTAAAAACAACGCAGGACTACAGAAAAGGTCATCCTGTATGATTCTATTTATATGAAGTCAAAATACAGGACAGAAGTAAACTATATTATTTGTGGATAGATAAGCAGAAAAAAAAAATGCCTTAAAAGTCAGGGTGGTAGGGAGGAGGGAAGAGGCATAGGTTTCTGGAATGTTCTCTAGCTTGACTTGGATAGTAGTGACACAGGTGTTCCTTCTACAATAAACGTGCTCATCTGCACATTTATGTGTTACATACTTTTCTGAATGCGTGTGTAGTTCACTACATAAAGATAAAAAATAATAAAGAAGAGAAAGTAGGTGTCTGAGAGGCTGGGCAACTTGCCCAAGGCAATACAGCCAGCTGGAGCAGAGCTGAGAAACGGAGGCGGATGTTCTGACCCTAAAGGCTGTGCTTCGTCCTGGCCCGTTCAAGAGCAGCACCGGGCCATGCACCCAGTGGGCCTGGATCTACTGGCCACAAGTTTGTCTCCCTCTCTGCCTGTTCAGAATGGGGACCCTCAGCAGAATTGCACATGGAACCCAGACCCACCCTTCCCCGGGCCCAGTGTTTAGCTGCCTTCCTGGCCTGTGTGCTGAAGAACTACGAGCATTAGAACAGGAACTGCCATCAAAGGCGCTTATCTCCTTTCTACCAGACGTACAGCGGAAATGCAGAAATCCTAGGAGTTAGCAATGCTGGACGTGTCTGGGCAAGCATGGCGCTCGCAGGTGGGCTTAGTCAGCCCCTGAAGGTTTCCTGGCAGAGCTGTTATTAGCTGGGGTCCCCTGGAAAGGAGGCTTAGAGGATCAGTCCTTCTCTCGCTGTTTCAGAGGGAAGCCAGAGAGCCCTTCACAGCGTGTTTGTTCTGCAGCGGGCAGTGTGCCTGCTGCTGGTGGGCCCTTCTCTATGGGAGGACAGGGCCAGGGTGGTGGTCAGGGGAGCCTGTCACTGCTGATGGCCCAGGTAGGGGGCACATTCATTCTGTCACTCGTTCAGCTAGTCTGGGACTGGGGAGATAACAGGGAGCAGGACAGACAAGGCCCCTGCCCTGTGAGCTCATGTGCCAGTAGAGATGCAGGTGACCATGACGCTGAGTGAGCCCACTGTAAGTAAGATGGTGCTGGGTGAGGCAGAGACAGAGGTGGCAGGGAGGGCAAGCAGGAGTGACTAGAGTCTGAGTTTGGTGACTTTCAAGTAAAGGAGATGAAAGGGTGGATTACGGCACAGGCAGAGGCAGGCAGTCATTTGGAAGAACAGCAAGGACGCCAGTGTGACCCAAGGAAAGCCGCCAAAGAGGAGGGAGGAGAGTTGCCAGAGAGGGAGTGGAGCCTTGTCATCATGGTGGGGCCTCATAGTTTGAATAGAGAAATGAGAGCGCCTGACCCAGGTCCGACCAGGCTCCCTCTGCTGCTGTGCTGAGAACAGACCAAAAGAGGATGAGGAGGGAGGGCGGCCAGTTACCAGCTCCTTACACAATAGTGTAGTTGGGAGTGAGGCAGCCTGCCCCCAAAGGTGGTGGCAACAAAAAGTCACTGAATCCTTGATTTATTCTGAAGGTAGAGTCAGTGGTATTCTCTAGTATTCTCTAGCTGGGATGGACGAGAAGTATGAGAGAATGGATGAGAGAAGTTAAGGGTAATTCCAGGGTGTTTCCATCTAAGCAACTGGAAGGATGGATTAATCGTTAACTGAGATAGCAAGACCACAAGAAGTGCAATCATTTGAAAGGAAGACTGTAGTTTGAGATACATACTAAATATTCAAGTTTAGATGTCAAGTGGGTAGGTAGGTATTTGTCTGGGGGGAGGGTACTGTTTTTTGTTTGGTTTGGTTTTTTGAGACAGAGTCACATTTTATCATCTGGGTAGAGCACCGTGGCATCACAGCTCACAATAACCTCAAACTCTTGAGCTCAAGCAATCCTGTTGCCTTAGACTCCTGAGGAGCTGGGACTATAGGTGCCTATCACAATGCCTGGCTAGTTTTTCTATTTATAGTAGAGTTTGGGTCTCAGGCTGGCTGGTCTCAAACTCCTGAGCTCAAGTGATCTACCTGCCTCGGCCTCCCAGAGAGTTAGGATTACAGGTTTGAGCCGGGTACCTGGCCAGTAGGTAGGCTTTTAAATCTAGAGGTTAGAGGAGAGGACTAGGCTAGAGAGGGAATTTGGGGAGCCACTGGCACATAGATGGGGTTTGAAGTCATGAAGCTGGATGA